AGTCAGGGACTGTTCTGCCTGCACAGTTGAGCTAATTAACTCTCAGAGCTTTAAGTGGATGTTCTTTTACTGTTCTTTGTGTATGTCTCTTAATCTTTAGGGCAATTTTCTCTGAAGCACATCAGCAAAATAAGTGTTACCATTTCACTTTTTGGATATGCATCTGAAGCTCAGGGAAACAAGGACCCCATCGAAAAATTGCCAGTGTGGCTGTTCGCCGTCCTAACACAGGCCTAGCATATGCTTACAAAACAGGGATTTTTTCTGTTCTACTTTTTTTCTCAGGTAACATAAAAATGCCTGTATTTATAGTATGGTATTAATTTTCAGAAGCTAGAATAAGTTTGTATCCTGATGACAGAAGTGATTTATTTTGTTTTGTCTTTAGCTGCAAAACGGTTTCTTCTGGCTAAGTCAGCCTGTTCCTCTCTTCTAACACTTTTTGGCCATGCTGACTGATTAAAGACAGTTTTGACAGATTAGCTGCAGACTCAAAGACAGTTAAATTTCTGCAGGTTTTGCAAAGATGAGGAGTGGAGAAGAGGAAAGAAACCTAAGCAGTGGCCCAGTAAGGGAAAGACTGGTTTGAGGTCAGCCCTTACTAAAGGTCTGAAATGTCACAGCAGGGACTATGACAGCCATGATGGTGAGACATGAGTCACAGGCACCAGAGTCTGTGGGGCAGAAATCAGTTGGAATCAGGTCCATCTGAATTTCTTGTTGCTTTCACTGGCAGCTAGTGGCATGGTTTCACCTGTATGTTCCTGACCTGGATCAGTTTATATCCACTGTGAGACCTTCAGGAATGGTGGTACTGCCATCCATTCCTATAGCCTGCTGTGGCCGTAGTCTGGGCTTTCTCAGACTGACAGGCTGTAATCAGATTGAAATGGTGGGAGTCTGGAAGAGGTGTCTGGGAGAAATTTACTGACAGCTGATTTTGAGAAGTCAGGATAAATAATTTAACAGTTGTCAAGGTTGAGGTCCTATATATCTATAGGAAGACATGCTGACTTCTAGAGCACAGACCAGCTTTTGTTAGATTCCCAAGGAGTCCAAAGGCATAGTCCAATTTCCTGCATGCGAACCAGTCTACCTTGAAATGTCGCGACCATTTTGGGCATCTGAAGTAGTGATTATTTCATGGAGAAAATAACGCAAAGCAAAAAGAAATATTCCAGCACTGACCTTTCTGTGTCAAACTCCTAGCCTAAAGAAGATCAGGATCTTCTAAGTGACTAATTAAGTCAAAAGTGAATCTGTCTAAAGAAATAAATGTCCAAAAGGTATGATGAGACTGCCTGCTGTCAGCCACAATATTCCAATTACTGGTAGTACAGTCTAGGACAGTCAAGTCCCATCTCTAAAAATGTGCTTCTTGAGCCTGTAAAATTATCTATAAATGGATTTTGACATGGCTTTTATTGGCAGGACCCTTCTTTTCTAAATTGCGTGCTTTAGATGAACTCAAATATTACAAATGTAACTTCATAAAAAATAGACAGCAGAGCTGGGAGATCTGATCAGCTCCAGATAGCTGGTCCGGGAGGACTGTGATGTAATCCTTCCAGACTGGAGTCCTGCTCACTATCTGCGCCACACAGCCAGGGCTTTAATTCTGCTAAACACTTCTTTGTCCATTCCACTCTCCACTGACCTTTCTCACCACCAAAGCAAGAGTGAGCAAATTTTCTACTGGGGTCCTACCATAACACCTAGTTGAAAGGAAGAAGGGGAAAAAAAACACACACAAAAAACCCTATAAAATACAACACCACTTACTAGAAATATAATCGTAGGTAGTCAGCTATGCATGTACAGGTGGTCAGTTTTTCTAAATAATCAATGAGCCTATCTAGTTTCCCTGCAGGAGACTCTGTGTTGACTTGCGCAGAGTAAGTGCAACTCAGTAGAGTAACTGCAGTAATACAAAGACCACAAGCTACTGCCTGGTTGACAGGGCATCATCTCAAACTTACTGCAACTAACACAGTGCAAGAATATGTCTGGAAGGTGTGAAAATGGTTGCACAGGACATAGGATACAAGCTTAATTGACCGACTGGTCTCTTCCATGACCTACATTGCTAAAAAGTAAGTTGCTTATTATTAATTTCATTAATTAACGATTATAACTGAAGAAATAATGCAGAATCACTTTGGTTGGAAAAGACCTTTAAGATCTTCAAGTCCAACCATTAACCCTGCTCTACCAAGTTAACCTCTAAGCCATATCTCCAAGCACCACATCTACAAGGCTTTCAAACACATCCAGGGGTGCTGACTCAACTGCCTCTGTGGGCAGCATGTTCCAGTGCCTGACAACCCTTCAAGTGAGAAAGTTCTTCCTAATGTCCAGTCTAAACCTCCCCTGGAGCAGCTTGAGGCCATTCCCTCTTGTTCTATCACTGGTTACTTGTGAGAAGAGACAAGTGCCTACTGCTCTACAACTTCCTGAAAGGAAGCTGTAGAGAGCAAGAAGGTCTCCCCTCAGCCTCCTCTTCTTTAGACTAAATAGCCCCTGTTCCCTCAGCCACTCCTCATAAAACTTGTGCTCCAGACCCTTCACCAGCTTTGTTGCTCTTCTTTGCACACTCTCCAGCATCTCGTTGTCTTTCTTGTGTTGAGGTGCCCAAAACTGAACCCAGTACTTGAGGTGTGGCCTCACCAGTGCCAAGTGCAGAGGGATGATCACCCCCCTGGTCCTGCTTGCCACACTATGTCTAATACAAGCCAGGATGCCATTGATATGAATCAGAACCTCAAAGAATTTGCAAATTGCTAAGTAAAACCCAAAATGTACATGACTTCTGTATCCATTTCTTGATTATATTAAATACCCCCTGACTTTACTTACAGTTTTGTTTGAAAAGGGGGCTCTGCATATTTTGTATTTAGGAACCGTTTCATTCACTACTGCAATAAAGTTGCAACTCACTGTGAGTTGCCTCATCCTGAACTTAAGCCTGCTCCAGCTGCCAGCCTAGGGCTGGGCTGTAAATAGACAAGGTTTTATCCATGTTTTTAAATAGTCCTAAAGATGAACATGTATTGCTAAGTCTTTTAGAACAGGGATGTTAGTCCTTTACTGCAATCTGGAGGATCATACTTCTGTCACAGAAGACCTCAGCAGTGAAGATGATGACATTTGTTTTACAGTTAACTCTGGAAAGCAGCAACTGTTCAAGACATATGGCAACCTTATCCAGCAATTTAGGGTTGTAAGTGGGAGGCCCCAGATGCGATCCAATTCAGATGCCAGTCTGGCATTACCTATATTTGAATTTGGCCAGGACATACACTTACAGAAGGTTCCAAGTAATTTCTAAGGGCTAAAGATCTATTTTGAGTACTAGCTGAAATTTTTCAACCACTATATTTTTTTCCAGAAAATTTAGATTGTTGAAAATAAAAACCAAAAACAAATAAAGCCAAAACCAACCAAAACCCCAATCTCATGAGGAGAAGTATTTTTATTTGCAAACTGAATTTCACTGACTCGAGTCCTCTTTTTTTCTTTTTTGTTTATTAGCAGGTTTTTAAGTCAGATGGCATCCTCTGTACAGCCTACAGCCAGGGTCTCGTTGTTGCATCCCTGGGCTGACAGGAGGTGTAAATGGTGCACCTGGGGCATACAGCCTGACTACATGTTCTCATGCATGCAGGAGAAGGGGTCTGAAGTATACATTATCCTTAGACGTAACAGAAATGTTTTCAAACTAAAATATATTTTAGGCTGGGTTTTGGTTGTGGTTTGGGTTTGTTTGTTTGGGTTTTTTTTTGTTCTCCTCTACCCATTTTCCTATTATCAGCAAAAATATTTTTCATTTGAAACCTGGGCAAGCCTTAGTTTTCCTTTTTTCTTCTTTTTATCTTTCTTTCTTTTTTTTTTTTTTTTTTAATTTTCCTGATGAACTTGATATTTTGTTTTCCAAGCCAGAAGAAGAACAGCTCACAAGTTCCTCTACACTACATGGAGTTCTGGCTCTTCTCTCCACCAGAGGGTCTGAACCATCCTGCGACTCCCCTCTTGGCTCTGCATGTTCTCCAGGGCCTCCTCTCTCTTATCTTGTGAGTGCCAACAGTGCTGTACAGAAGCAATATTACTGATATTCTGAACATACACAAATGAGAGAGTTTGTGGTTCCAGCTCCCTTACTTCTGCCTATTTCACCCATATGAAACTGTCTACAATACTGTGATATGTATTTAAGTGCTAATCTGAACATGTTGCATCAGCCCCAGGAACTGCACCTGTGATTTTTCATACTTTACTGTCAGGTACTCATAAAATACCAAATTGTGTTTATTCCATTTCTTTGCATGAGCCAAGTCATATTGCACCGAAGTTACTGTGCTCCATTGTAACGCTGCAGACTCGCCTATCTTGGGAATTTGCCTTCATGATTTACATAATGCAAGAAAGGGATTTTGGTTTCTCAAATCTCCTGATTCATGCCCTGCCTAATAAGGTTCTTGTTTGCTCTGGTTTATGTGATGCCAAAATTGCAATGAAATGAGGAGCAAAATGAAAGCAGCTAGTGAAACAGCTTAAATTCAGGAAAAAAGGTTAAGATAGACATTTGTTTTTACTCTTAGTTTGTTTTCAAGGTACAGAATTAAAGACCTAGAAAATAGTGTCAGCTGATGTGTGGACAGAAATGAAATTCAAGATACATATACCTATGGGCTCCTGGCTGTCAGGTGTTCAAGGTGCAAGAGGGAAATGTGCTTGAAAGAATAAACATGGACTAAACTAGCCCTTTTGAAACATCTTTTTCTCAAAGTCAGTTAGTTAGGGGGAGGGGGAAACAAGATGAGCAGGCAGAAAAGGCAGGTTCCCCAGGGAGAGGGCAAAGGAGAGAGAACTGGCAGAATTCCCACTGGAGCCTCTTTGTTTCTGTTGCCAGTAATTATCACCTAACTGCAAAAGGTAAAAAAACAGACACCTTTTCTCCTAATCCAAAAGGCTACATGTAAGAAGGACCGATGGATGACACAATGGCCAGGATCACTCTTATTTCTGTTCTCATCCTCTGGGCAGCCACACAGCAGGGAAGGGGAAATGAGATTACAGGTGAGTGATGCAAACTTGATCAGAAGACCACGGCTGTTATGTAGGACAGTTTAGTTTGGATGTGGGATATCATCTCTTTATTTGAAAGAAACTGGCCAAAATGGCTACTCTCTGGAGACTTGTCAATGTCTCAGTGACCATTTAAGAATCCTCTGATGATAATTAAAGAAAATCTAACCAAGCCTTTGTCCCCAACTCTTCATCCCCAGGCAAAAGACTTTTTGTTTCTTTTGTGCCATAAATGAATGAGTAGGATTGCTGCTTTGTGTTGAGTAATGTGAGATTTTAAATTAAAATCATCTTTAAAATAAACTTTTGGAGGAAATTATGTAGTGATGGACCTGGCAGATTCCTAGAGATGCATAAAATGAAGTTATGTTTAACGTTCATCTATGGCTTGGGTTGTAATTTGGAAAAACCTAACCCAACTGTAAGGTTGTAAATGCCAAATTAAATCCTAATTTGCTCTTAATTTCTGGTTTGATTTATTTACATGAGAAAAGATTGTGATTTTTGGCTGCTTTTTGCTGCTTTTTTTTATTTAAGTGGTTTTGCAAGTCTCAGTTAAAATACAAACCATATTTCTTAAAGCTTTGAAAATATTTCTGTTATTCTGTAAAAATCAAAACTGAAACAGAGGTTTCTACAGAATGAGGATCAGCAGAACCCCCATTCTAGTGCCATTTATAGTCATTAGTGTTGACTTCAAAAAGAATTTGGAATGCCCATAAAAATCAAGCCTTTAATCCATTTTTCTTTATATTTCGAAGCTTTTGCTTTTTTAAGCAGAATTTGATCTGCCCTCCGTGAACCTGTTCCAAGAGATTACTTTCAAGGTTATGTCAAGACAAGAAAGGGGCTTGTCTTTGGCTCTTGCTGTTCTCCAGCAAGAAAAGATTTTGCAGATCCCAGCTCACAATGGCTTTTCTGGCACTTGAGCAGTGAAGTTTCCTGAATTGCAACTAAGTCTGTGACATAAATTCTATCAAGCATTTTTTGTTGCTGATTTTTTGATCAGTTCTGATCTAAGCTTGACATTTAGTTATAAGCAGCCTGCTCCTGCATAGACTTTATGCAGTCTGTTTCTACCTTTCCTCCTAGTATTTGTTTCTATTAATAAAGTGTTTGCCTTAATTGTTTCTGCTCTTGCTTAATGTAATAAAATGTATACTTTCCCTGAAAGTGCTGCAAGCTGGTTGTTGCTAAGATAAAAGCTAAAGTCCGGAGATGATAGGCATAATGTAGCCATGCTAATGTCAGGTAACTGCCTTCTCCTGCTTTGCAATTGACTTCAGCTTTCTGTTGCTGGAAACAACCACCAGTACATTTTAATTCTATTTGATAGTGCCATAATCACATAGATGGGAGTAATGAGAACAGAAAGCCAATTTGCTAAAGAGCCCAAATTGATCCAAGCTCAGCAATTGAACTCTGTGACTGTCAAAGCTTGTTTTAAACTGAGTGAAGTGATGGACGATGGTAAGGTTGGTGGGGCTGCACCTTTCCCTGTCACCTTCAGTTTGACCTCTTCCAGTGAGGGTATCTTTTTGTACTACCATAGCCATATATCGGACCTTCTCTTTTGGCTTTGGCAAAAGATTCTATACGTAGTATCAATGTTTAAGTATGAAATATGACTTCATACCTTCTCTGACAGCTGTAGGTTCTAATTATAAAGTGTGTCTGATTCTATACCATTTTATTCTGAGTTTCATACCTGTATTTATGTTGCACATTGCTGTAGAGCTTAAGCCAGCTCAGCTGACTCTGGAATTTTCAGCTTTCCAGTGCCGTGTCCCCTGTGCAGCCTCAGCTCTGCAAGGACAACACGAATTGGTGGTTCTCCTCTGGCCCCTGCTTGGCTCTAGCCATGCTAATACATGAGCTCTGGAGAAATGGAGGGATCACAGTGATGAGGAACCAGACTGAACTCTTCTTCTTTACCTGTTCTACCCTCCTCTAAAATAATTTTATTCTATAACAGTATGATTATTTAATATATTAGTTTCATTTTCTCATTTTTATGGAAGAAAATTTGTCCTACTCCTCCCATCTTCCCTGAACACCAACAAATGTTTGTGTACTCTTTGCAGACAAAGTCTAGGTCCAGGGTTCTTTCCTTTCCTCTTTGGGTATACAGCCATTCAATTCCCAAAGTAATGAAAAAAAAAAAAAAGGTGAAACAAGGTGAGGGTTTTTTTCCCCCCATGGCTACAAGCCTAGAAGCATTTGCTGGGGTAGGTATTATTCTTGGAGCACTGTTGACACATGAGAATGCTTTACAAAATGCAGTGACAGCTACTGGTTCCTTGCAAGGCACTTGTGCCTGATATGAAGTAGTAGTTGATCAAATGCATTGGATAAAGAGTGGCCTTTGATCTCTGATTTCTGCTCCAGAACCCACACTTGTTCTCTTTTCCTCTGCCCCAGTGGGATGTCCTGAAGTTAACAGGAGGAGGGTGGCCACCTTACTTTCTCTGGCTCACTTCACGTTCAGTTTCCTCCTGCACAGCCACCAATGTGCCATGGCTGGGTACAGGCTTTCATGGTCCTGGTCAGATCTCTATCCTGGCTATTGGGGTCCTCTCCTGGGTTAGGAAGGGTGAGGGTTTCAGCCTTTCAGCTTGAGGCAGGTTGAGTGTCTTCCTTCCTATCGCTCATGACCACCTCTTTTCACTCTCTTCTTAAGGACAAAGAACAGCCCTGGTGCTTTTTAGGAACAGAAAGGCCTTTTAGGTGCTGTCTCTGGAGCTTGCTTGAGGGACTGGACACAGAGATGCCTGCTGGAGACTGAGGAAGAGAAAGAAGCAGGAAGTGGGATTTCCAGATATGCCCTTATTCTCCATATTTTCCTGCTGATCTGCTCTAAGCAGCATCACAGGGCTCCCAGGAGCCTGCTGGAAGGTCTCTTGCTCTCACATGCGCTCTCTGTAGCCACGCCCCGGCATTAAACTCTGCATTGTGCTGCAGGAGGAAGGCACAGATGGGTTGGGCAGAGCAGGACTGGTCTTCCAGGGGCTGGTCAGATGTAAGTTAGTTATGGTGGGGGATAGTCCATGGTTAGTCCCCCCCCCCCCCCGCTCCCCTCTGCTCTTCCAAAGTGGCCTTGTCCTCAGGGTGATGTCTGTGTATCTATTTAGGAGCTACATCAAGCAAATCCATTTTTCTTCATGACCTTTTGTGCATCTAAGACGGGATGTCTTTGACACAGTTCTTATTCAAGTAGTGTTGAGGATAAGGGCTGAGGAAGACCTCCTGGGTGACTTGGCTGAGCCAGCTTGAGAGATGCATTGTGGTATGGATGTGGATGGTATCTATGCCATGCTTTCTTCTGGATTGTCCTTGCACTACAAACAGATCATTCTGTTCAAAGATCTTTTAACAGTCCTGTTCACATTGCACATATATCTTCTGTGCATCTAGGAAGCTAGACTTTATAAAACCACATGATTCCTAAGAACATGATGACTCCTTTTTTCTTGAATTGTTTTAACATGTTTCATCTTTTTGGGCAGGAGATATGTTGTACAAATAAGGCAAGCTGTAAATATTTTAATTGTATGCCTGTTGGTATATTATGTTAGCTCCGGTTTGTTGACTGTCCCTGCTCCTCTCAGAGCTCGCAGAAATAACAATCTCTGCAGCTGATTCATTTACCCTTATTAAAGTTTCTTTTGCTTTGTCTAAAGGATGAAACAGGCATTTTAATTCTATCCCATCTATTTCCCAAATGGGACACGGAGTGACTCAGCCCCTCTGGCTACTGTAACATCTCATTAGGAGACAGCCTGACGTCTGTGACATGATTGTAGGTTGCTTATAATAATTCTCAAACTCCCATCTGCTTTTGTTGCTGTTGTTATTTGAGTTTCATTGTGGTTTGGGTTTTCTGGTATTTTTGTTTGTTTGTTTGTTTTGTTTGTTTGTTTTTCCTTCCTCCCGTTCGAGTATTTCAGGGTTAAGTAAAGCATGTAACAAGTTCATTTCTCATCATGACAGGTTTTAGAACTCCAGAAACTGAGTCCTGTTCCCAGACCCGAATGGAATTGTGTAGTTAATGAACTTACTACTAACGTCATTTATATTGAAGACAATGAAGCACTGCAGCTTTTAAAGTGCCTGGTCTAATATCATCTGCTACAAATGCAGATAGGCAATGTTGCAGCTCCAGGAATACCTTTTGTGTCAGATACCTGAAAGGCCTTCCCAGTGATGTATGAGTACGCAGTTTTAGCCTAGGGTGATGTCTGAAGGATGTCTTATTCCAGACATCTACTATGAGTCATCTGCCCATGAGTTCCTCACCCTTCATTCCCTTCATAGTCAGCAGAGGAAGACGAACGCTTTGACAGACTGAGCCCGGAGTGAACATCTAAAGTACTTGGATGACTCTGCCCTGGAAGTGCCTGTTCTGCTTTACTGTTAATTACTATTCATGTATCTTAATTTCCTTTAGACTTGAGTTAAATTGACCTTTTTCTGCTTTGCACCTGAAGGCCCTGAGAGCTCTCTGAATTTTCTGCCAATCTGCATCCCTATATGACTGAAGTGATGCCTATGACAAGCAGTCACTACTAATTCTTTCTTCTGTATGTTTTCTGAGGGGACATTCTTCCTAACGTCAACCTTCTTAGAAATCATTAAGCTGTGTTGGCTCTGTCACTGCTTTCTCATAACAGTATTTTTAACCTAGATACTGCAGGGGACTTATGCTCTGGGGTGACAAGTTAGTGCTGATCACCTTCTTGTTTGTTTGTTTTTCCTCCTAGAAAAAGGCCTCTCTTTGCTAGGGTACCATCTGTGCAACTATAGCCTGACCAAAAACGTGTTTAAAATGGTTGCCTACACAAAGTCCTATGAGAAAAGCGCTTCCTGTGGAGGATGGATACCATGGATGGTGTGTCCTCGGACATACTATAAAATGCAGTACCATACTGTTGAAGTCCCTGAAACCATCACTTTTACAGATTGCTGTGAAGGATATGAACAAGTTGGACTCTACTGCTCTTTAGGTACGTTTTAGGCAGATTAATGGTGGAAATAAATACTTGTGATAAGAGGATTCACTTAAACTGAGACATGTAAAGGCTTAATTCAGTTCTGGGCAACAGGTTCCTGTTCACTGAAGTCAAGTGAGTCTGCAAAAATCTATGGTAAATTTGATCCAGCATGGTAAGAAGCAGACATGAAAGACTAACGCTCCTGATTCTTGCTCTTTGCCACCCCTAGTCACAAATTCATTAAAGTTCCAGGCGAGCATGAAGAAGGCACCTGCATGCTGCCCTTACAAGGGCTCATTACTTGTCCCAGTTCGGGCCAATATTGATGGCCAAGTGCAGTAACTATCTGTGCCTGGTGCTGTGTCTGCTCTGAGCGTGCTTGCATTTAGACCTGGAACTTTCTTCTCAAAAGCAATTCAGGATGCACTTACAATAATATCGCTTCTGATTTGGAGCAGGGTCAGTTACCAGAATGCAAAACAGTTTTGGTGTTAATTTAAAACAGCCTATGACCTCAGAGCAAGTTGGTAACAACTGATTTCCAATTAAAACTACGTTAAGGCCCATTTTCTCAGGGCTTCCCTCGTTACATAGGGCTATGTTGGGAGGACTGGAAACTGGTGAACCTTTTGGTGGATCTGAATTAACTTCTGAGTTTTAACCGGACTCTACTTTGGGAAGACCTAATCATCTTTATTTTTAGATGTAAGCTTTTTTCTCATCAGGTCTATCAGTTATCAGTTAGAAATTGATAATTTTCAGCAGAACTCGAGTCATAGGTGGAATGAATTCCTTGGGGAAAATGATTTTTTTTTTTTTTTTTTTTTAAATAGAGAAATCTATGTGCTTTTAAACTGAACAAGCTTCTTGGATTAGCTTGGATTAGCTCCAGCACTGGAGTGTTCCAGCATCCAGGAAAGTTCTGCAGGACATAATTTGGTCTCTTATTTTCAGTATGACATTATGTTTTCTCCATTTCCCCCTTTCAAGTTATCACTCTGGGAATTTACAAAATCACAACAGTGTAACAGAAGTTTGAAAAGGAAAGGTCCTATTGCAGCCCTGGCCCTCACTTTGGGTCACAAGACTTGAGTGACTCAGTCCTATGGGAATGTCCCTGAACCTGCTTCTGCATCGGATCATATAACGTGACATGAGGGGGTATGAGCCACATATCTTGTCATGGGATCTGTCAAGAACAATGTGTTCATCCTACTTTTAAATTGCTTCACAGAGTTGTAAAATGAACCTCCAAACAATTTTTGCAGGATATTATCTCAGTAGTTACTAGTAGAAAATTGTGTCTAGCAGGAAAATTCCTTTAAAAGAAAGTCAGGAATGCAGAAGTGGTCATTGTGTTTTACTTGTTCTTAAAATGATTTTCTGGAGAAGAAAAACAAAAGCAAAATTAGATACAAATAATTCTTAATTTATTGTATGCTGCCATTGTTTGTCTCTGTGGCAGTTGTGGAGCATGATCCAGGGCAAAATTTGACTGGAAGGTTACAGTATGTCCAGACAGTCTTCTCAGACTGGCCAAAGACCTGCTGTTCATCATATATATTTTCCAAGCATCCGTTCCATGCAGGGGAAAATCTCCAGTGTATCTAATTAGTGTTCAATAATCAGTTCAGTAAGGTCTTTTTGATATACATGCATGTGCATACATGACATACATATGTATCAAATGACAAGGCTGAGAAGTAATTGGAGAAATTGGAGAAAATTGCTTTTTAATTCTGTAATAGAAGGGAATAGCTGTGTCAGCTAAATGTTGAAAAGTCACTAGCTAGTTATGCTTGTCTCTATTTGCACAAGAAATTCCGTGAGTGATCAGGATTTTCAAGGTGTTTCAGAAGCTCTGAAAATCAAGACCATCCTCCTGGATGGAAATAAAAGGAACAATAAAAGGAAAAAAAAAATAAAAGGAAATAAAAGTGCTAACACTTTAAATATTTTTTCCCAGTATAATTCTATGCCTTTTAAAAGCATCTCTAGGGATATTTTAGGCTTGAGAGCTGTTGATGAGCTTATTTCATCTAACATTAACAAATCTGTAAATCTCTTGTAAAGCTTAGCTGCAGAATTTCCACTCTGCCTGTGACACATTGTTGGTGGGCACGCTTGGGCATGCTGGCCAGGTTTGTGCATGAAATACTGTGGTCACTTTGACTCTTTTTCCTGTCAAAGTTAATTTGGGAATATTTTAAACCATAAAAGGATTTGTATAGCTTCTAGGTGATTTCTGCGTTTATGTTATTCCGGTATCTTTGCTTTTCAGGGCATTAGTCATAAATTCTGTGAATGGTAATGCACTGTCTAGACACAGTCTTAAATAAATGATGAGAAGAGAAACTGGAACAGCTGAAATTACTGCACAGCATGCTGTTGAACTACTGTTATTTTCTTCTTGACGTTAGCCACGCTGGCATGCTCTCCATTCTGCTAGTAGTGGAAAGGTCTCCATGACCTTTCATAGCAACCTGCTCCTGGCCACTACCTACTTTTTCTTCCTAGAAGGAAACATTTACCCCATCCTGGGATATGGTAGGCCCTGATTCTCTTATTTCTTTACTGTTGGGGAAAAAATGTCTAGATGTTTAGTCAAGTTACTCTGATAATTCTCACTAGATGCCCACAGATCCATTAGAATAGTATTACACAGGCACACACAACCTACTTTAAGGTTTTTAAAATAAAAAGTGAAAAGTTATGTATCTAAAAGTTAGGAAGTGCTAGAATTAATTCTAAAAGTAGAATTAAATAAAACAACCTTTATTTCTTCTCTTTGCACCTACACATGCAGATGAGTAAACTGTTTTAATTACCTGATCGAGCACTGCTCTGCCCTGAGCACCACATTTCCCTGTTGTGCTCAGGGAACATAGAGTCCCCCCAAGGAGATCCTCAGCAGTGCATCATCCTGGCCTCCATATTCAGTGCATGGTGTTGTGCTCTGCTGAGCCTCTGTCTGGATGGAGAATAATTTATCACCTCTTAAGCTGAATCCTGGGGCAATTCAAAGACAGATATTTGTCTTCACAAAGCCTCTGGGCAGGGAGTGAGGATCTCTGTCTTTCACAGCTGGGCAGCTAAGCTGCAGACAGGCTGAGATCAAACCATTTTGTGTGCCCACCCTCAGACACTAAGGGTGTGGTTTTAATTTTTTTATTACAATTAATTTTTATTTTCAGAGTGCTTAGCACTGCCTTTAACAACTGACGTAGTTGGAATCCAGAGCCTCATGTCCTTGATGGTGACTGTGAGCAGTCCCCTGATTGCTAAGCAGATCCCAGGGATGAAGGTCAGGTTCCTGGACCTGCATAATCCACAGCTCTGAAAGGTTGTTATGAGTTATATGAAACTTTTCCAGCATCTTGCAGGATTATTTTTTTAGGTAGAGTCAGGGTCCAATTTTCCAGGCTAGTTTCCCGTTACTTGAATCAACGGTATGATTACTTCTCCTGGTGAGTGGTTTGCTGACAATCTTCCACCTTACTGCATAAGATGAAACCAGAGAGCTTCCTTGTCTTATCTTTTTCCTTATCTTCCTTATCAGAGAGAAAAAGAATGCATCAGCATGCAATGAAGGCTGTTTTTTAACCATTCATATATAAAAAAAGCCCTTATTCCTTATTCTTATTCTTGAAATAAGAAGGCACAGACAACTTTAGTCCTGGAGCTTCTTAACTTGAGAGCACTTGGTTTGCAATGTTAAGGCTACACATTAATCGGAGTATGCTTTGTGTGTATAACTTCCTAAGGTTTTCAGAAAAACAACTGTAAAGTTAAACCCCCTTCATTTTAGGTATCCAGGTGTTTCAGCAGGGCTAAGATCTTTCAGAACCTGCATGCAGATGTTCACATGCTGAGACTAACTGGAGCAGTGGGGACCCGTGGCACAGCTGTCTCCAGTTGTTGGGCTGTCACCAGAGAGCCATGGGACAGCGGTGTCATCAGGGGCATGTGGGCATCATTGCAACATTAGCCTGGGGTGGAAAGGTGCCAAAATGCCCTAGGGGACCTTCACCCAGAAGCAAGTGTCTCTGGCTGCCCTGCAGTTTGGGGCCCTTGTGTGCCCTTAGCAGCTGCAAAAAGATTACAGGTGTCAGAGAGTGTGTCCCTTTCTATTACCTGTGGTGTCTGCTTAGGGGCCTCCTGTTGAGGAAAGGTTTTGTTCCTTTTTGAGCCCACCAAAGCTGTCAGCTTCCACAACCCCTGTGCCAACAAACTCCAGAAGTTCATTCCCATTAGGGTAAAGAAGTGTGTGCTTTTACCCATTTTATTATTGTGGGCTCTGGTGAATACCAGCTCTGCTTTCACCTTACACCCTGGTTTTGGGTAAACCTTGATGGGATCCCCCTCAGCCTTCTCTCCACAGCAAAGAGTCCCAGCCTTTTTAGTAGTCTTTCCTTGCAAATTACCTGCTTCATTCAGCTACTCACCTCATGCCTCTCCTGACCACAGTAACCCCAGGAGGAGCGCCTGAGATGTGGACTCACCCCAGGTCCCTGCTGGTTCTCCACCAGTTCTGAGTGTGAGCACCAGCAGGGCAGAGCGTGGCCTTGTTGCAGTACTGCCAGCAGGATGAACCTGTTGGAGGTGGCAGGAGCTAAATCTCATTTTCTTCTGAGCGTGCACAGACTGGTTTTGTGCTTTGAAGGCCATATTATCCCTTTGTTCAACAGCTGCGTCCCTGCTGATTTTCAGCCCATGGCTCCTGAATATATTCTAGTGATTGATACAGCTTTTCATAGAGAAAGGTATTAAATATTTGTCAGATAATGATCCAGCACATCCCAACACTGCCTTCCATCCTGATTAAACCCCAGACAGGCAATCAGGATGGAAAACATCCATCTGAGCAAGTAAAGTCTAGCAGTGCTCAAAGATGCCAAAACCATGGCCATATAATGAAAACTGCCAGCCTGCCTTTAAAACAGGCTTTGCCAGGAACTCCTTCTATAGTCTCATAGATTTGTCTCCACTTTTTGATGCCTGAGACAAAAGCAGGGGTTTGGTCCCTGGGTTCTGCCGCACCCTCTGGATGAAACCAGCCCCTCCAGATGGAAGGAGGGAGAGGAAGGGGGTTACAGCTGAGCTAATGGTGTCCATCAGCATCTATCTCCTGGACATGCCACCATCCTGGAGACACTGAAGACCTGGCAGCTTCTTGTGTGGGCAGGATGCTAACTCAGCTTTCGTTGCTAAGCATTGGGTGCTGCATTTCTGCTTCTGTACATTTATGCAAATAATGGAAGAGAAAAGCCTATACTTTATTAAACCGACAGAGGAGGTGGTTGGCTTCCTCCCCAGTGCTGACTGTATTGCTTGGTAGGTGACTGTCCCCAGGGTGACTGAAGTGGAGAGCATAAATCAAGTTTTTAAAGTGCACCTGGTACAATTAGACAGAAATGTGATGCGAATCCATCTGTTTCCACTAATCTGAAAATTATGACCTTTTTGATCTTAGATAAATGGCTAGTGTGGCACTTGGCCAAGATTCAGTAGTGTTTTCTGAGATTGAGTGTGACTCATTAAATCTTTTACACTGCAGTTAAACATGACAAAAAACAAGACTGAGGTGGAAAAAAGCTGCTTTGAACCTCTAACTTGCTTGAACTTCACCTGAATTGCAGAGCTGGAGGGTTTTAGATGCTTTTGTCAAGCTTACCAAGATCTACTTGGTTGGAATAGTAAGGAGCACTGACAATGTATTAACACAGGGAAATCTCTTGGTGTTTATGTCTGTGCAAGCTACCAGTGGGAGAGGCTGGCAGGATGGGATAACCTCCCAAAAGGAGCAGGCAGAGGCTTTTGTTCTCACCCTTTTCCAGGTGGGGGTAGAGTTTCCTAATTTGCTGCTCAGGGTTCTTGCGGGTCTAACACCAACTCTACTTGAAAGATGCTCAGACTATTGACTGTGTACACACAAAATACACACACACAATGTATCAAATACAGTATAAAAGAGTGTGGGAAAGTCCTGCCCCACATATTCTGCATGCAAATCTTTGAGATTACACCCGCAGGTAACCTGCATACTGCTGAGAGTTCTCAACTCAGTGCCTTCTCTGTTCTCCAGCTTATGGGTTTTGGCAGGTTTTTCAGTGGAGGTGTGGACCCCCATCATTAAGCTATGCTTACTTTTCTTAATTACCTTTCAGAGACACTTGACAAGCATACTTTAGACCTTCCAAGACACAGGCCATAGGTCCTAATAGGCTATTTCTTTATGCAAATATGACTGCACGTCCAGTGGATGACTTCAACTGCCCAGGAATGGATCAAGAGTTTGTAGGAACAAAAATCTTTAAGCATGAAATGAATGGAAAAGAGAAGTAGTGTGGGCTACTGATCTCCCAGGGTGGTTGGCTGGCTGATGTGGAGCAAGTGCTGCCAGGCTGCGGACCACAGGCTCAGCTCTGCTTTTGTGTCCCTGTGTGTAATCCACTGAACTGTACCAAGAACAGCATTTGCCTCTGCTCTCAAGTACCGTCTTCAGTTACTATAACTAAACATTAACTTTGTCATAACAAAAGGTTACACTTAAAATGGAATAATGGTATTTTAGGCTGGTATTTTCTCCCCTTGAAAACCTCAGAACAGACATACTTCTAAAATGAGGAGGTGTTTGCTATTAATTAAGTAGCACAATTTTATGGAAACAGTTTTCTATATTTTTGTTCTCAGAAATGTTTTTGTTACTTAGCACTCAGTAGATCCAACATATTTGCCTCAAGACCTGGTATTTGTCCAGTGGAGAATATGGAGACATCTGATTATCCTTGCACGTTTGATATTGAATGTCCAGGGCTTAAAAAATGTTGCAACTTATCCAAAGGAGCAGGCTGTGTGGATCCAATGCCAGAGGGTATGTTACTGATAAATTCAAGACTGTTTCTAATAGAAATATGCTTAATATTTCCTTCTGAGGGTGAGTGTGGGCAGCAAAACTGTTACCATAGCTCTTAATTAAAAAAATACGGGAATCTGCCTTGGATCAATTCCAGGATATTGAGCTTCAGTACTTGTACCCGTGAGTGGTGCATGGGTGCAGTGGTGCACCATGAAGTGCAGTGCATGGGTGCTGCAAGTCCAGTGGACCTTCTTAGGCTTCTTCTCCTTCGCTGGCATCACTGCCTGCAGCATATAGTGAATGAGTCCATAACTGATTGCTGTACGTGGGCCCTACATATTTGCCAAGTTAAAACTTGCTTTGATTTCTCAGAGCCTTCCTATAGCTCTGTCACTTTCTGTAGCATCAGACCTCAAATGACTTGCCTCGTTTATTTTGTACACTTCAGGAAGAACATTCTGGTACAACGTGACAGTACTTGTGAAAATGGATTTTAATGAATTAATCAGAGTGGATTCCCACCTCCTGAATCATTCACGCCTTTTGCACTCCATGGTATGTACAAACACCAACTCTCTGGTGTGTTGCTTGTTGTGTCCACATTTCTGCTACTCAGTAACTACCACTTGCTTCATAGTCCTCTGTGCCGGGTATAACCTTGACAGACAGTCACTCCTCCTTTGTTCTGCCAGATAATTTTTTTGGGCCTTAATTTATTCCTAATTGCTGAATGTCAGCTGCATCCTCAAGCAGCTCAAGTAACATTGATTTACCAGCGTCTTTAGTAAATTTTTCAGATCTGTTCCAAGGGCAATTTAAAGACATTCTGAAATATAGGGTTTTTTTCCTGCTTAAGCAATGCTTGCTCCAGCTTTGTCTCAGTTAAGTTTTGAGTCTGTGACTGACTGGGTCCATATTTCAAGACCTGCTAAGTGTAATGTCTTCTGACAAGGAGTTTTGAGTTAAACCTTTCAAGAGACAAACCTGATCTATAGCATTGGGACCTACATAGCAGGTAGACCCAGCATTGCCAAAAGTTTTGGTCTGAATCTTCAGGATTACAGCAGGGGACTGTGTCTGAGTCAAGGGGTTTTTGTTCTCATTCTTGCCACAGAAGCAATGCTTGGGGAGGCAGCAGGGTGCTGGTTTTGCTGTAGGACTTGAAGCTGTTCCTCGTGCGTGGGTTAGGAGCAGCATTGGCAATAACGCGTGCACGGCCACACGACAACAGCATGGCATGCCTCTCCCTGTCCTCGGAATGGCAGGATGCAACAGTCCAAGACAACCAAGAAGAACACAGCCCCAGCAGAGTTGTGAGACACACTTCCCAAAAGCAGGGTCTGCAGGAAGAAGTAGGATACAAACAAGGCTCAGACCGGGGGGCTCGCGCTGTCCTATTAGTGTTATTTAGGAAGTGGATTGATGAAATAGGACAAAGACCCTCCAAACCATAAACTCCAAGCATTTCCCTACTATGTATTACCACACCATGGAGAAAAACAGTCTTGGATGTTGCCTTTGTATTCAAGAGGGCTGGTCCCTATTTCCCTCCATTTTTATTTCTACTCCTTCTAGTTTCCAGATGGAATTGGGCAAGTAGCAAAGGAAACCCTTCTCTTGTCATCAGCTAGCACTAATGGGCAGGAGAATAGAAATGGTAGCTGTAGAACGAGAACGTTGCGTGAGTGTAGTTCTTCCTCCTACCTGACTTCCCCCTTCTCATATCCTAAAGAAGCGAGAAACCTTGGTTGTGTGGCCCTATGGTAAAGAGTAGAGGGCAAGCCCTTCATATCTTAGTCTAATGCAAGCTATGGCAGTCAAACACTCAAGAAACGGGAAATATAAACTGAAGCTTTGCCAGAAGATGCTTCTCAGAGGAATGTCTTTCAGGCCCCTGACTGCTTCACTGACTCCTAATCCTTTCTCTCATTCCTGACTCACAGTTGTGATGTCTTGGTCAGTCCTGGAGTCTCTCTATGGCTCTTAGTCCCAGCCTTCTTCCTCAATCTGCTTTTTTTCTTCTTTTTCTTTCTATTCCCTTTGCCAGCAGTCTTTTTAGCTGCTTAAAGGCAGAAGTGTTAGACCGCTTTCTTACGGATGGACTGTAATAGCATGTCTAATGTATATTCTGTCTGTTCCAATATCTTCCTGGGCTACATCCTCCTGCCTAAGCATTTGAGATTAGACATGCAGCTCCACCCCTCTCTTAGCTTGGCACTACTACAATATAACTGTTTTGAAATGCGATAATAGAGCTCACCTTGCACAAATACAGACCTAAGTGCTGCCACTTTGCTATGATTTCTGAATTGATGCTTTCTACACTCAGATTACGATAATAATCATTGCATAAATTATGTCTCATTGGCATACATCTGTACTGAGAAAGGAGTGAGATAGTGAAGTGTTTGTTCTCCTCTTTTCCAGATTACTGGTGCATTACAACCCTTGAATGTCTCTGTGCACCATATCCAGAGTAACCGTGCGAAAGTATATGCTGGGACAGTGGCCTCTCAGGTTCTCATTGGACTGCATCAGCCAGCTCCACTAGCAGAGGTTTCTTCTTTCTTGAAGGACATTGTGAAGCGTGCATATGAAGTGATTGACACAGAAGTGCAAGGTTAATTATTATAGTCCTGTCATGGGGGAATCTTTTTTAGGGGGTTTCATTAGGGACTCGGGATTTCATCTCTATGGCTATTAATTTTCTTTCAAAAATAGCATAGCGGATCTTGTAAACTTTGCAAATATGTCCCTAACCTTTCCATTATAGGTTGTAGTTAATAATTACTTTGGAATTAACAGTTTGGAGGGGAGTACTCCTCAATTACATTTATGTTCTCCTAATATCATAGCCCACCTTCAGATGAAAAATGAAAGGTGTCCATATCTCTAGCACAATAATCAGATGTATTGAACAGGATCTTTAAAAGAATGTTTTCTTGGGAATCAGATATACTGTTTTTACAGAGCTGTTACTTCCAGTGACTTGCATGAAACAAGCTTTATTTATAGTCTATTACTTACTATAGCATATTAGTACCTACTTTTTTTACTGTTAGGTACATATTTTTATATATTCAGTTTAACTTATTTTAATCTACTTATTACTGTGTAGTTATCTGCATGTTTTCACTCCTGAAGTGCATCCATAAGCACTGTTGTCATCACTTCTTATTGCGTGCTTACTTTAGAAAACTCAGTTGAACTTTCAGTGAAATCACTGGGTAGTTCTCCTTCCTCCTGCCACTGACATCTCCTAGGTTTGGATGACGTTCTACAACTGTGAACAGGAATGGCCACTAACTGTCCTCTTATTCTAAAGAACTGGAGTAAAAAGAGATAGGGTTTTAAGTGTTTCAAGGAAGGACAGCATTCTGTTTTCATTGCACCCATATACACGCAGAATTGCTTCAGCAGAGTTACTGTAGATTTATACTGAATTTATCATATCTAGAGCTTGGTCTACATACATAGAAGATCAATTTTGATGCTGCTATCAATATCTGTGCAAGGTGGGTTCTTCTTCTTAGATGTCAATGAATGCTCCTATGCTGAATTCAACGCCTGTACTGAGAAAAACACCTGTGTAAACCTGGAGGGCTTTTACAGCTGCAGCTCTCAGCATGAACACACAGATGTCATCCCTCTCCATCTGAGCCGAAGAAAGGAAGGTAGGAAATGCAGGTTTCACTTTGGGAAATACTGAGGATGTTTATGCAGGACTTTGTGGTCTATTGCAAGAGCCACCTGCAGGGCACAGATCTCTGGAACACAGGGTGCCCTGTCTCCTTCTGCTGAGAGAAGATGCCACATGAACCACCTGTTAGGTATTTTGGATTGAAATGCAGTGTATTTATTTCACAGTACCTGGCTGTTTCTCCTATGTCACCCTCAGCTGTCCTCACTCACCTGCCAAACCCTCGAGCTTCAGACCCTGACCGCTTCTCAGAGCAAGAGACTCAGTGTCAGTACAGCACCCCAACCTCCTGGGGAAATATGATTAGTGATGTTATTTGTACCCAAAGTCTTCTTCCCATTTTGACTGTGTGACTGCAGCCAGGACTCAGTGCTTGTATAATCCCACCCTGGATTATACAGGGTCTTCTGCTGGAGGCACACAGACCCTGGCAGTGGGTGAAATAATACTTTGTGGTACCAGTTCAGCAAAATATAGAGTTATGTACTTACAGCTCACAGACATCAATGGGCTTGCTAATAGGCTTAAAGATAATGAGATAAACAAGTGCTTGCAGATTCAATGCTTTATTTAGAAAATAATTTTATAATCCTTTAATCTCAAAAATGAAGTGAATGTATTTCTTTATGCTTTTGTGATATGATAATACATTTTATTTTCATTTCTATTTATATTACTTCTATTGCTGCTTTTCAGCTGTGGAAAACATGATTGGTGTTATTATGGATTTGCTTTGTTAGGAACGCTTTTATTCTTTGATAATACTGTTTTTCCCCTAGGCATGGCAGCATCTACTCCAAGCTCAGCACTGGACCCCATTAACAGTAGCAATCACTCTCTGTCTATCAGTAATTCAAGTCTCTTGTCCATGACTAACCAATCTACAGGTGCTGGGTGCTGTAAGTAACCTTGGATTTAAATGAACATTGTTTAGCTTTTAATTCAGCTACTCTTCGATGCCTTTGTCCTGGGCTTGGTTGAGTTACAGGAGAGTGTTCAGAGAAGCTGGTAATAGTTTTGGAGTGAATCTCCACCCGTGGAAGTGGAAAGAGAGAGGTTCCCCAACAGGGCATTCAGATCAAGGGCTCTGGTGCTGTGAAATGATCACTGGAGAAGCCTCACTATTATCCCCATGGCTACTGAAGGGAGCTGGCTTTCCAGAAGTGGGACTGCCTGCACTGGGCTTCTTCAGCCACTTGTGTATGGTGAACCATTCAAGCACAGGTCCCATCATAGGGCTTGTGTTGGATAAACCTTCAGTGCAAGAAGCATGCCAACATGGGCTGTGTGAGGCCAGCACCACTCACTCACTCTGAACTCAGCTCACTGAACTTCCTGGGCTTGCCCTGGAATGAGGTATGGCAGGACCTGCTACTGAGCACAGGAGCTCCTCCTGGCTGCACCCTCATGCTTTCAAATCCATGAAGATGTTGGTGAGGTATATGAGTAAGGGAGGTTGGCCACAGCTACCCCACACTGGAGTTGACCTTTGTGAATACTCTCCCTGCTACACATGATAGCTCTCTGAGGGACTATGATGGGAACAACCCCAGTAGATTTGTCTTTATATGGGGGACTTCAGCCCTTTCAGAACACAGTTATCACAATCCTTTTAACAACATCCTGTTCTTGTGGAAATAGCTTTAAATAGTTCTTTGCGTAGTTCAGAGAGATAGGGTGAATATTCTTGATCTTCATCTGCCCCTGCTAATCCAAACTGAAGCTAGAGGAATTAAACTGAAGTCCCTTTAGAATCCTGGGATCAGTTGTGTCCTGTTGAAACAATTTAAGAAAACTAGCTTTTTTTTTCCCCCTCAGTCTAAGGATTAATATGAAAGAATTGAAGTTGTGGCAGGAGTATGTCATGGTCACTAGGTTACCGTGGGGGATGATGTTCATCTCAACTGACCCCAGCTGTCTACAGGAGACATGCCTAATCTGGGTTCTCTCTCTGGTTAGTGGAGACAGACAGGCCCTACTGGAGGGCAACTCATCACATCCAATTTAGACACCTCCTCTTCCTCTTTCATCTCTGAAGGGTCCTGTCCTTTCCCACTGACAATGATTGCACTAGGCTAGAGTCGCATAAATAGGTGAAATGCTGCCCACCACTCTTCCCCCAGTCTCTATAAGCTGAAGACTATGGGGTTTTTCCAGGTATAAATCAAGGCAGCCTTTGCCTGAAGAGGTACATTTTGATTATTAAAGTGACAAAAGGCAAAGAAGGTGTCAATATATGTAGAGTTCAGTGATTCACTATTCCAGACTTATTCCTGCATATTGGCTGATTATTAGTGTTACTAGAGATTCAGCACAAATACCTATAGTAAAAGGAAATAAAAAGTAGCCACCAGATTAATTACTTTAGTGGGGTGGTTCATGGATGAAGGGACCTGGAAGTGTGAGAGGGGCAGATTCCATCCTGACATAATGTAAAGGGGAGCTTTCTATATTGACTATCACAGTGCTTGTCTACAATGGATTTAGAATAGCATAATTTTTTAAACATGAAACATTTATTTTTCTGTGATGACTCTTCTTGTGACTGCAATAGATCCCTCTGCGTTCAGAAACCATCGAATCTTCAGAGTCACCAGCAACAGTTTTGAAATGTCCTGGCATGTAACTTCTACTCTGAACCATACTTTCCAAGTCCAAGTGTTCAAGGGCAAAGAACTTGTACAAAACCTGAAGACAGAGGAAATGAAAATGGAAGTATCTCAGCTGGAAGCAGGTGTGATGTATTCAGTAGAGATCAGCTATGAAACCTGTGGAAAAACAAGCATCTCACGCCAAAATGTTAAAACAGGTAAATAACCACTTTAAAATACACATGCATTCTCTCTCTCTCTCCCCCCAGCCCCACTTGCAGTTCAGAAATGATCTGTTTTGTCATTCCTGAACTCCATTTCCCACATCCTTCAGCACTTTTTCTCCCCTCTACCCCAGCATTTATGCAACCCAGACTATCAAGCAGCAGAGCTCTGCCCTTAGTTGACAAAGCAATGCTGGAGCTGACTCAGACTATTACAGGCATCAGGCTAACCTAGAATACTTTTGGGTTTGGTTTGGTTTGGTTTGGTTTGGTTTGGTTTTCTTGTGCCTGGCACTGCATGTTGCTACCACCCATCATTGTCAGGACCCATTTTTCCAGATTGGTAACTGGCCAGTGAAAAATCCAGTCAAATGGTTTGTGAAGGGTCAGCTGGGCTAACAAGAGTGCCCAGAGGAAGGCCAGATTCAGATGAATGTTTGTGAGTGACCAGGAATGACAAAGGCTGTGAAAAAAGCTTGCAGAATACCTGCATAATTTGGTTCAATTAGCTAGTGATGTTAGCTCCCTGAGACCCTAGTGTGTTTATCAAACACAGTGTAGCTTTTCCTTTATCCTTAAATTGTTTCCTAAGCCTTCATACAAATAGATAAATAAATCTCTGCCTATTTTCTTCAAAATGCAGGAAGTGAACTACTTAATACTGGCCACAGTGAGAATGCTGCTGTTTATGTTTATCCATAAGAGCCTTCCCTTTGATCAGGCAAGGGATGACTTCAGTTTGTGTCAGAAGGAAATTACTCCCTTTGTAGAAGGAAAGTAGGAGGTCTAGTGGTTACGGAAACATGGGCCCAACTTCAGAGTATGAAGTTGAAGCCCCTGAGAAAAAGCAGTTTTCCAAACATCAGTCCATCAGATTGTTTATACAGGTTAAAATCATTATAGATTCCTTGGGTCTTGGTTTTGCCTCCTGTGTGCTGTACATTACCTGCCAGGGCTTATCAGACAAAGGAGTAGCACGCACTGATTTCTGTTATTATTTTCAGTTTAAGAACATATTTACTATCCATGTTACCAAGATCAGGAAAAAAAAAATATTGTGACTGGTGGACCAGAGATGAGCTCACAGGCAATTCAACCCTGGATGTAACTCAAATGCAGGAGTTATGTAGCGTCAGGTCCAAAAGGATATGTGTATACCCAGTTCTCATGCAGTTGTAATTAGGCACCTAAATATTTTTATGGACCTGACTTAAGTGCATCTCTTCAAAGCTTGTAGAGGAATATTGACTTTATTTTTTTGGTTTAATACCAAACTCTGAACCTTCTCCCTTCCTTTCCATCATCAGAGATCTTGGTCTGAGTACATCAGTTTTGACTGGATCCTTTCCTCTTTTGCTTTGTCTGTATTTTATTATTGTGTCCTACAGAGGCCAAGATATTTGGTGTTACTGTGAGGATTCTCAACTACAACTTCACTGATGACTTCCGTAATGCCAGCAGCTTGGCGTATGCAGAATTTTCAAGACTGTTGCTAACAGAGGTAATGCTAATATATTTGTTAGTAATAAATATTTTTGTCAGTTTCGATTTAATGTAATAGAGGATTTTATGCCTGGCTGAAATAGCCCTTGAAAATCATCATAGTGTTTCCTGTGACCTCTCTTTATAATTAAAACAGAATTCAGCTGACTAGACAGATCAAGCCCTTGGGCTTATCAGAAATGGAGCCAATGAGAATTCTCCCATACTGAAGAGTGAAGGAATTAAAAATGCAGGCATGCAACAGAGGACCCTTTCCTCGGATCTTTAGTTTGGCAATAAAGCCACGCGAAATTGACTTGAGGCTTTTTAATGGATTACTGAAATGACATTGCTGGCATTCATTTCAGCATTGTCTTCTCAATAAATATCTGACTGCTCTCAAACTCTTTCTTCTTTCAGGAAAAGTGACGAAGTCAGGTTTTCTTCTCCAGCCCCATTAATTACATGTACACGTGTAGCAGCTGTCCATGCTCAAGTGTAATCAGCTATAAACAAAACCTGAATCATGAAGTCTATTGCCAGGTCTCAGCTTCCTAAACAGGGGGAATGTTCCAGAAGCAGCAATTCCTTAAAGTTTTGCTGTAGAGAACAGGGCCCATACAGAGGAATTGGGATCTCCATCCAAAATAAGATTTTCTCAAAGCAAAGAGTGACTCATAAGCTTATGTAACTATAAATCTGAGTTAAAAAAAAAAAAAAAAAGAATGGAGCTATATGGTCAAATGCGGCATAGAAGAGGTGTTTGCTCATGAGGAATTGCAAATTGAACCTTCTGACATGGTTTTATTTCCCATAGCTGCAAATTGTCTGCAAGAGAATTTTTGTGAGTGAATCTTCTCTGAGACTAATGCCGGCCTAATTGGCATCACAGGAAGGAAACAAGCATTGCCAATCTGTGTTGTTTCTGCCTCCTTGGCTGTTTGGGGGCACAACATCCCTCTCTCATTTCCTCTTTCTCTTTCTTGACTCCCCACCCTGATGTGAGCTTAGATCAGATACACAGCTTGTTTGTAGGAATTTTTGGAGCAAAATCTGACTGAATGGGAACAAAGTTGTGTTGGTTTGTGTCACTGCATTGCATGCTCAAAGTCATGCTTTAAGATGTATGTAGGAACAAAAGGCTCAAGCAAGGAGATGCCTTCTAGGGATGTAAAGTGAAAATGCCAACTCCTGCACAGCTCAGATATTGTCAGCAGTATGCCAGCTTTAATGTTCAGAGTAACACCATTTGTTCAACTGATGTGTCTACTTACCAGTTTGGTAATCAAACAGGACATAATTGTGATATTGTCTTGAAGCTGAGCTGTCTCAAACATGTTTTCTTGACTTTATCCGCCCCCATTTTCTCGTCTCTCATCTTGAGATTTCTTTATCATTGGACTTGGCTGCAGGCTGGTGCTGGACTGGTGAGTTTCAAATACTCCCTGGGAACTAAAACTGTGCCCATACTGGCAAATGAAATGTTTCCATTCTCTGACAGTAACACTAGCTGGCACAAAACAGCCTGTATCCATGCAGTTGGTTCTTCCGAAGTACAGCGGTCACATTCAGATTGCCTGTTGGGACTGCTCTCTGGCCAAAGCTGTCAAACTTCTGCCTGGGTACTGTCTGGGGCACCGCTAGCTGGCGTGGTCAAAATCAAGCTAAAGTCTGCTCCAGTGACAGTGGAGATGACCAAGGTCCTATGTCTGGAAGTGCAGAGGTGAATGTATAGAAGGCTTGGGACAAAAACCTTACATGACATACAGAGGTAACACCAAGGGTCTGATCCCTGCTGACTCACTGGGCCAATTCACTCTGATGCAGGCAAACAGGTGCTGAATGAATTCTCCCTTGAGCCAAAATGAAATTTGGCTTCTAAGACCAGATGGGCATAATTTTCAAGGGTGCTTAGATGCACCAAGGAGACTCAAACTTCTCTATGCTGCAATAAACTGACAAGATTTCTGAAACATTTTGAAACTTTTCAGTTTACAACATTTTCTATTTTGTGCATATATGAATCTTTAAAATGGTAGTAATTACATAGTTCAGTTTTAAAAGGAGCTGTGCCTTGTTGGATTCCTAATTGTTGATGCTTCTCTTCCTTTGCTCAGCTTGAAAATTCATTTCCACCTGACATTTCTGCTTTGTACAAATCTGGGAAGCTGAAAGTGCAGACCGGATCCCTGCAAGCTGGAAGCATCGTGAGGCTGAGAATCACTGTGCAGGATCCTGAGTTTCCAGTTGATGCCTCCACATTTGCCCAAGTGCTTTCTAACTTGCACAATGGTTCCGTGCTTTTGGTGGATCAACAAAACACTACACTAGAAGGTAATTATTTTTTTTTTCCAAACAGGAAAACAGGGTTTGTATTTTGATCACACACAGTATCACCAGCATTCTTCGCAAAGAGTAATTTAAAGAGAGACAAAGTATGTGGTTTGCTGGAAGGAAAACCATGTTGTGAGAACTCCTCCATGGGCTTTTATCCCTATGTCCAGAAGGTATTGGAGGGAGGGGCACTGACTGTCCCCAGGTACCTGCAGGCACTGCTTGCCTCCACTGTTTTTAAGGAGGAGCCCTTCGTTCTCCTATTGATTTTCTTCCCTCTCCTCTTTGTGAGCAGTTGGAAGTTTGCCATATTTTTCTTGCACTGAGTTGCAGATAGAATTACTGTAGAGTATTTGTAACCTTTAGATACATGTGCCTTATAGACAATTTTTTTTTTTGCTTCAGGGCTGTGGGGCTGTATTTGGGCCAGGGTTCAAGAAAAGGAATCTAACATCTTCACTCTAGAACTCCAGCCAGAGGAATTCCTAAACATCCTCTCAGTGAATTCGACAAAAGAAGCAGGCATGGAATTTATGTTAAACTAGGCCTTTGTTTGATCTTCAGTAATCACCATTTTTATCTTCAAACGGCTAAGTTCTGGCTTCGGGTTTCCCAGATGGCAGAGCCAGACAGAGTTCAGAGTTACCAAAGCCGGCAGAATTGGTTATTCTTCTCTCCTAGTGTCTTGAGCCCTTAAAAACTTATTTACTGTGATCGGGGAAAAATCCCTTTGGAGTTATAGAGCATATGAAGGTTAAGGAGAGCAGGACAGGGAAAAACAGAACAGACAAATTGCACCTGAAGCCTACAAATATCACAGTGGTAGCAGGTATTGAACTGCAAGGTGCTGGTGCATACCAAAATACTTTATAAATGTTATTGCTTCTGGGACTGAAAGAGTGCAGAGGAAGAAGGCAATAGCTCTGGACTTTAACTGCAGAAAACCAGGCAGCTTCCAGTAGTGCCACTGTTATCCAGGAGCACAGCCAGCTCCTCCACTCCTCCTTAGGGGCAGAGAAAAAGGGTCTATTTCTCAGCTCTGCACAAAGAGGCATTTGTCTGACATGAGCTTCCCAAAGTCAAATGTGAAAAAATAAGTCAAGGGAGTGCAGCACATGAAGGAAAGATTTATCTAACAGGTTGTTCTGCATCCTGAACCCTGAGAGCCCTGGGACCTGTCCTTGGACTGCACAGAATATCTTGCACCAGTGGAGTAGAATCATAGAATCATAGAATCC